GGATCAGACAAAGCCTGGCTCTTAAACCTCCCATGAAAGACAAAAACTCCCCCTCAGGAGCCAAGACTCGTTTGAGACTTCCACCCAATTCATCTGACTTGAGTCTCCACCTGTGGCTCAGGCTAACATGCTTGCACCTACCATGAGGGAGAATGTGAGGGCCAAAATGTTGATGGGCCACAGAGGGCAGAAGCAGGACAGGATGGCCAGCATCAGGTAGTCTGGTGGTTTGGACTCTTGGGCCGGACCCTCTGTCATGGCACTGGGCCGGCGGCCAAGCGACGGCCGTGGGGAGTTGAGCGACGGCCTCGGGGAGTTGTGTGCCACCGAACCCGATCGGCTCTCCGAACGAGGACGCCCGTTGGCGTGACCCCCTTTTACCGGGCTGGACGGGGACGTGGCCATCAAGGCACAGGGTGGGGCAGGACCCACACCGTTACCTGGAGGTGGAGATCAGGTGTACAAGTTTCTCATTTGACTGGACAAAAACCAAGTGGGAGGGGTCTTCTTACCAATCTTGTCGCTCACTGCCAAGTGCTCCGTGGATCCAGTGGTAGGGGGTGGGGTTTCTTGGCCATCACCGCCTGGTTGGCACGTCACCGCCGCACGCTCGGCGTCTCCGTCTCCCACACGCTGCGACTCGTCCATGCTGCCAGAGGGGCCGGGCTACACAGATGCAAAAGAAAAGCTGGGGACAAAAACAGATATGCTTTGCTGTGATGGTCAAGATGTGTTTCTTCCAAATCATCTCAATTGTGTCATATCAATGCCTCGCCCAAAATGACCGCTAAACAATTTAGAACATTTATTCGCAGACAATCTGAGGTGCTGCTATTGTGATTTCACGTCAATGATGCCCAGTGACGCATCAACGGCCAGTCAATGAAGTTGCAGGAAGGCAGGACAGAAGTCCACGTAACGGAGAGAAGTAATACATGCTGACCGAGCAAATGAAGTGAAGGATAGTTAGCCTGTGATTGACAGTAAACCAGTCAACTTCTGCTCTCTTCATCTTTTTATTTTTGTTCTGGATAAAGTCAACGGCAGACGAGCAACGAGCCAATGCAATAGACGCCACCTGGTGGTGGCTTCCTGCATGATTTGTGAGCTCATCACCAACAACGGTACTTCTTTTATTTTGAAAAGCCATCAAGGCGTAGACTGAATGAACCCCACCTTAGATTTATAGACTCAGAGAATGTCATTTATTTATGACCGTGCACTCACACACACACACACACACACACACACACACATACACACACACACACACACACACACACACACACACACACACACCACTAATGGTGTGTGTGCATTGCAGTTGAAGGTGTGATGCCACACTCAGGTGATTGCACAAAAAGGCGTGACATGACGCCCCCCACCCCGAACACCCAACACATACTCTCACACGCACGCACACGCACTTTCAAGAACACACGCGCACACACACATATACACACACATACACTTACACACACAAAGTCCTTACCTGCTCTAACAAACCGGGAGCTGCTGAGTGTTCATTTTTTGGTGAGCAGAAGAAAAAGCTGCGATCCACCGATGTCGGCAACAGCAATGATGATCAACAAAGATTATCACTGATCATGATAATTATCATTGGTAGCATCACTTTCATTTGTAATGATGGTGAGCTGGAGTCCAAATGGTGGAAGGTCTGTTGAAAACGATGAAGACAATGAAGACTCTGCTGCAGCTTGACTGCAACAACTGCAAAGGGAGGGGAGGGTGTGTGTGTGTGTGTGTGTGTGTGTGTGTGTGTGTGTGTGTGTGTGTGTGTGTGTGTGTACGCGAGCGTGCGTGCGGGTACGGATGTGTGTGCGTGCGTGCGCGTGAGCGAACATGAGCGTCCTCTCATTGCGTGAACGTCAAGAGATCGACAATGTGTCAGCCACGTTTCCTTTATATGTTTATTATTCCATTTGCTAAACATGGGTAGAATGTTTGTATGTGGACACGCCCCCTCTGCAGAGAATGACATGCTCACGTATGACCAGTGCGAGTGCTAATCATCGCTCTTATTTTGAAGGGCCAGCAAATGAATTCCGGCGTGTTTGTGCACAACTGCTATTCTATTTAACGCGGTGTCATAACAGTGCACCAACGCACTCAGCATCGCCATTGTCATCATCATCTAACAGTGCTGCTTTTATTCTCTATCTCTCTTCGTCGACTTTTTCTTTTTTTTTAATTTATTTTAAAAGGGGAATTTGCAATTGTAATAACATTTTTTAAAAATCAGCCATTTTTCATCCATGTTGTTCAACCTTTTTGTCGTACATGATTCGTCTGTGAAAAAAATGTGATTTAGCTTTGAATAAATGCAAAATGTATTTCTTTCGAATCTGTTACGAGTCACCGATCGTGTCGTGGTACACACGCCGGCATTGTGTGAGGGCAGCATGGGATCGGTTCCCACTCAGTGACGGTGTGAATGTGGATGTGAATGGTCGTTTGTCTTTGTATGTGCCCTGCGACTGACTGGCGACCAGTTAAGGGTGTAGCCTCCCTTCTGCCTGAAGTCAGCTGGGATAGGCTCCAGCAAGCGGTGTTGAAAATGGGATGCATGGATGGACGAATCTGTTCCTATTGTGCCCACTTATTATTCAATGCGTTGAATATCAGCTAAATTGTCACTCGGTCGAATTTTTATAGCTAATAATTGACTTGGCCTATACACATGAAAATAATATTTTTGTGTTACTTTATGAATAGTATTTGCCATTTTCAACGCCGCTCAATGGAAAAAGGACTGAAACCACCTGCTTCTTTAGACGTCAGTTTTGCACATTTGTTTTCGTTTCGTTTTATTTTGCTTTTTTTAGTGCTTGTCTGACACGTCGCCCCCAAAATGAACATCACCCAAATACATTTGGTTTCGTTTGGTAAAATTCTGGCAGGAATTTTGCAAACGCGTTTGGAAGGGACGACTTCCGGTGTGTGTGTGTGTTTTTTTTCGGTCGTTTCCGGGCTGACGAACGCCCGAAATCAAGTCAACAAAGATGAGCAAAATCGGACAATCGAGCAAAGCTGAAGTGCTGAGCGGTTACCTGATGGAGCGGCTCACGCAGCTGCTGCGGGACATCGTGGATGTAGTGGAGGACGCGGTCAGCGAGTACCGGGAGGAGACGCTGCGGACGCGGCTGGAGAACGAGAGCCTTCGGCGGCAGCTTGGCGAATTCCTAAGGCCGCCTGACGAGCTTTGGGCCCGGCCCCAACCTCCCAGTAAGCCGGCCGAAGTAGCACCTCGCATTCTCGAAGCTCGCTCCCGATGGGGCCGCGTTCTTGTTTGCCAGAGATTTGGAGATTCACCGCGGCTCAAGTGCAACTTAAAACTCCTTTCTTTTCAAGTTTCACCCTGGAACTTTTATTCGGCGACCGTTTAATTAAAGTCCCATTGGTCCTTGGTTGTTTCCTTTTGAACAAGCAGACCACGTGTCCTTTTGGCTCCATTCATGTTGTTGTATTCGAACATGACGTCAAGTAACTTGTTCAATTTCGAGGAGATATAATTGCATTGGATTGGCAATTCGGTGCTGTTGTCAAATCCATCTTTTTCCCTTTTCATCGAAGGCACCTGGCTAACGTCAAGCCTTTTTTTAATCGCAGCACTTTGCAGCAGTAAACACACCTTTGCGACCTCTGGGCTTGATTAATTTGCTGTAGTGCAATTTATTGTGGAGTCAGTCAGCCAGTCCTCCTCCAAACATTTCCAGTTGGCCCCAAATGCTGCTGCTGGCCAGAGAGCTCACATAATTCCAATTTTAACCTCTTTAATATTCTTTTGCAGGGTGTCAGTTTTGAAGGTTTTGCTGAGTGGATTTTTTTTTTCTTGTGTGCGTTCAGGCTCCAACAAGCATCTCGTTGCTCGCGACCAAGAGCAAGTTTGCGCCCCCACCCACGTCCAAACACCCCCCGCGAGCACGTCCAAGCGGACAGGGGCGGAGCTCCCCCGTTCGGATGAGACCTTTCCCAAAACACATTTTGTTGTTCCCGCCCCGACGCTCAGAGAGGAGCCGCGGCCGCCTTCCCCTCTCGTCATCAAACATGAACAGGACGAGTTAAAAGTCACGCCTCGCAAAAATTGTGCAGAGGTACCCATGGCCAGTGTGCACGTTCACTTCTCCAAGGGCAATACCGATGCCAGCACGGTGAAGGAGCGACAACAAACAGAAAGAAACGGTAAAAACTGATCGAGCCATGATGAATGATAGCGAACGAAAGATTATTTTTTTTTAATTGTCATGATTTTTTTGAAGGCCAGGTTAGAGAGACGGCAGCGGCGGGCGCCATCGTGTACGAGTGCCCCCGCTGCGGTGAGGTCTTTGCTCAGGCGGCCCGGCTGCGCCTCCACCTGGAACAGAAGCGCAAGACCTACGCCTGCAATTGGTGCTGCAAATCCTTCGCGCAGTCGGCCGATCTGCGACGTCACATGCGCACGCACACGGGCGAGCGGCCGCACCGCTGCACCTTTTGCGCCAAGAGCTTCAGCCAGAGGGGAAACCTGCGGCGGCACGTGCGCATCCACACGGGCGAGCGGCCGTACAAGTGCGCCGTGTGTCGACGCACGTTCAGTGACGGAGACACGCTCAAGAAACACATGCGCACCTACGCGCACCAAAAAGCCCGCGACAGCCACGGCGGCGCCGGCACGTGACTGTGCCGCACGTCACAACCCGGATGGACACCAAGTGGCAAGTTTGTAACACAAGCCAACTTTCTCATCTATTCACTTGTTCAGCATTTCAAGCTGGCATTGAAATTATGCCACAGCAACATCATTCACGCCATGAGGTCAAAAGGTGCTTTTTATGGGGGGGAGGGGAGAGACACAGGTAGCCAAGCACTAAAAACAACTGGTAATCATTTTAAACATTTATTCCAGCCCATACAAACGTATTCAACAGGGTGGTGAATGTCAAGCTTGATAAGCTGCAAGATACTGATGATGACCTCCACTTGGAAATGAGAAGAAAGCAAAATGTGAAAAGTGTTTTTATTGGGGTGGGTGGGGGGTCATGGGTCACTGCTGCAAGACAAAATACAAACCTAGAAAAATACTCCAGAAAGGAAATGAAAAACATGAAAGCACAACTACAGTTGCAATAGTTCTAAATAAACATGGAGAAGTTCAATTCGTTTACTTGTCTGTGACCAACAAACAAAAAACAACAAATGGCTACATTTGCCATCTTGACTCACCTCCCCTCAGCACAAACTCAAGTGGACTGGGACCTTTCAAAACTATATTATCCACACTTGTTGTGAACAGGCTGAACAGGAGGAAGGCCGACGGGTGCGGGGCCATCTGGCGGACACGGTCACGTGACCTCACAGGAAGGGACGCCACCGCCGTCCAGACCCGCACGTACGCTTCAGGCCAACGTGCTGGAAGAGGGAAGCCGGCAGAGTGGCTGAGGGTCACATGACTGGCCGGTCCAGACGGATGCTGCGTGTCGGACTGGCGCTCCATGTCGGACCTGACAAAACAAAAGCACTTTAGTGCAATGATGTCAGGAGTTGAAATGTTTCCTCAATGGCGAATGCTGAAGGGCTTCCACATTGAATTGAAATAATCAAAATTTTTGGGGAGGACTTGCGCAAGAACAAAGTGCCGGTATGATCGGCTCACCTGCTTGGGCGTGCCCGGTTTGGAAGGGGATAGGCGCCGGCTCACTCGGAGGCAAAGGGCACTTCGGGAGGGGGGGGCTTGACGGTCACGGGTTGAGACGTGCGGCGGGGCGGCGAAGGTTTGGGCTGAGCCTGCTGCTGCACCGTGTCATAATAGGTCACGCCCCCGTACGTCACCTGCGCTTGACCCTAAAGGGCGGCAAGTAACGACACATCATCATCATCACTTTCCGATTGACCACCATGTCCCATTTTTGGACGCCGTGCCGTTTCTTGGTGTACCTGAGGGCTCGGGTACATGGCAGGGTAAGGGAAGGTCATGACCCCTTGCGGTGGGTAGAAAGGCGGCGGCAGAAGTTGCTGCGGTTGCCCTGGCGACAGAGGGACAGGGGGGCCTCCATAGAGGGTGGGGTTTGCGATGGGGCCTCCTGATTGGTGGGGATGGATACCTGAGGCGGCGATACACACAAAAAGCATAAAAAACAAAATTAGAGAGAGAGAGAAAAATGGGACATGCTTGAACGTGTTTGATGACCAACCTGGATGGGGGATGTGCATTTCTGGCTGGACCAGCATGCCTTGGGGCGGCATGGGTGCCGCTCCATCGCCGTGTGTGTAAATTGGTCCCTGGTACGTTACTGGCGAATGCAAACACAACCGATTCAATTTGTCAGCGAGTTAATGCCGGTCGGGAGGAGCAAGAAGAAAAAAAGAGAGCAATCCTAACTGGGCTCGTAGTAGTGTCCTTCCATGACGCCCATGTGCATGGGTGCCGCTTCGGCGACACCTCTCTGTCTCTGGGACGAGTAACGTTTGGCCCGGTTGGAGCCGCCCGACAGCTCGTCCAGCGCCGAGAACGCCGGTGGCCTGCCGGCGACGTGAAGGCCGCCACTCAGGCCTGTGGACGACGACAAACAAAAATGGTGGGATCGTTCCTTCCGCCATCCACTGAAAAGCCCCTTGCAGCCACGAGCGATGTGGCGCAAACGTGCGGTGGTCATCAAATGACCTGTTTGCTAGATGACTTGATGGGAGAGGCCTCGCTCAACAATGCGACGTAAGAAAAGTGTGTGTGTATCATTTTTGCTACCAACAGCCATTGTTAAATGTTACTGTTTGCATTTAGCGTTATGGATATTATATCAGCACTGAAACATTGATTTGGATTCCACTATCAATGTGCTCATTTCTCATTTCCCCCTGCCGCATCACAATCACGCCATTTTGATATCGTGGACGATGTGCAACAATGAATTGAAAACCTCCTCACCACTCGAACAGAATTTTCCTTTGTCGTGTCTCACCTCTAATCTCTGAGTGGACGTAGGGGGCGGGGTTCTGGTTCCATGACTGTCCGGGCACCAGACTCAGCCGAGCCACATCCTGGTCGAGCTCGGTCCCGCCTCGCCCCGCCGTGTTCTTCACTCCTGCCGCCGCCTCCTCCACCGACGTCTGTTTGCTGCCTAATTCGGCCGGCCGAGAGCGACTCCTGCGGGCCAGCGAGTACGACTTTCGCTCGACGGGCCGCTCGGCGGGAGGGGAGGCTTCCCGGGGGGCCGCCGACGCGTGGGGAGTTTGGGCTGAGGCGGAGCCCCCCTGCTGTTCTGGCGGCTGTCTCCGAGGCGACGCGCTCCGATACGGCGCGTGCTCAACGGGAAGCGCCCCACTACTCTGGAGGCGGTCCTCTTGGCTAACCGGGGGGTCCTCGGTCGCCCTCCCCACGCCGCTGTGAACTCCCCTGCCGGCCAACCCCCTTTCTGCCGGAGACTCAGGCGGACCTTTGGGACCCGCTCTTTCTCTGGCATGGAGCTGAGGAGTGTGCGATTCTCTCCCTCCGTGGTGGGGCTGCTGTGACGAAAAGTGGGGGGGTCGGCTGCGGGAAGGGTTGCTGCGCTGGCCGGGCGCAAGTGGGACTGAGGCGGGAGATGAGTGATGAGGAGGAGCGCCTCGGCCGGGACCCCCGCTGCTGCCTCCTCTTCCTCCCCGATTGCTCTGCCAGGAGCGCAGGGCTCGGTCTCCCCCGTCCCGCCATCGCTGCTCTCGGTTGGGGGACACCGACGACCTGCGCACACAAACAAACTTGACGCCACGCAAGCTGGGACCCCAAAAGTAAAGCTCCCATTATTGATTTTAACCTCATCCAAAACGCAAATAACATGGACATGCGTCGCGCAAACGAGAGGAAGATGAGCGGCGCTCGCTCACCGAGGTCGGCGATGCGCGAAGGGGCGCTCGCCGTTGCGGATGTCGTAGCCGTAGCTGGCGATGAGCTCCTCGCGACTCTTGGGCGCTTGCTCCTCCTCGCGGAACTTGTCGTGCTCCCAGCGCCCTTCGTCCTTCCACAGCTTCCTGTTCCTGCCTTTGGGCCTGGATGGGACACAAGAGGACCGGGGGGGGGGTGAGATGCCGTTGGCGAATGCAGACAACCGAGCAGAGACGGTGTTACCTCTCTTCCTCTTGGGTGTGGCCTCTGACGTCGTGCTCAAAGAAGAGACCCTTGCGGGGGATGTAAGCCGGGTTCTTGCGGTCCTCGTCGTCATCCAGCTGCTGGCCCGACTGCCCTCCAGCTTTGGTCTCGGGGTCCACAGTCGACTCCTGCGGGTCACCCGAAGTGAGCGAGTCGAGCTGTGCCGTTCGAGCCGAGCGAGCTTACGAAATGGAGGCCCTCCACGACGCGTGCGTGCATTAGCAAGTGAGATCAATACGAAGCGTTCGTATTGGTCAGTGTAGGTCGTTTATGTACATTAAGGTGAATGTTACTTGTACGAATGAACAATTATGACCTCCAGCTTATAGACGAGACAGACATACTGTTACATCCACACAAGCTGTCAAACAAAAACTTGACAAGTGGAGCGAGCATGATGTCACTAACCTGACCGTCGCCGCTCTGTCGCTCTCCTGCCAACTTCCCTTTTTCATCTGACTCCTTGTCCTCTTTACTCTTCTCTTCCGCGCCTTCCTCATCCTCTTCCAGAGCCAATTCTGCCGGAGCGACGGGTTCAGATGGGCCGGCCGCCGCCGGAGCTTCTTCGTCGCTGTATCCATCTGCGTCTTCCTCTTCTTCTGCTCCCTACACCAAGACCAAGTTAACGTTTCCCAAGACAGGCTTGGGCTTGCGCCGACGTCAGAGACGGACGGTGCTTTTACCTCGGAGTGGGAGGCAATTTCTTCCGGATCTGCGCTGTCGTAGTCCGAGAGGACGGCTGGTGTGTGCAAACACACCCAGGAGACGTGTTAAGTGTGACAAAAGTGCAAAAACGCAAAGCACAAATGAATGATCAATGAGATCTTACCTTCTCCTACTCCATCTTCACTCTCCTGAAAAAGAGAAAACAAGCAAACTTTCACTCCCAAAAATGTTTAAAGCTCCCATACCACAATGTACTTTTTTTTCCCCAAATAATCTTTGATGTCCTTTTATTAGGTTTGCAAAATAATTTGGGTTGCGAAAGCCCAGGAGGCCCCTTTTCATGCTATTCAAGTTGGTCAAAAACACCTGGCCTTTAAAACGGCCGGCTTTCGCTGGAATATTCAGTACGTAAACAAGCTTTGCTCTGATTGGATCGTTGTTTCCCTCAAACTGGATACAGAAAACTGCTTTCCTCTGATTGACAGTTGGTGATATCTCAGTGTCTTTGGCAGCCTTGTCTGGAATTCACCAAGCAATGAGCAATATTGAGCCACACAGACGCCCTAAACGACGAACCTGTATCAGCTTTTGAGACTGCACATAAATCACATTGCACGTGATCACAACGAATAACACATACAAGACAGAGAAATAATAAAGGAAGAAATGCGGTGGTACAAGTGACATCTTATTTTGATTTAACACAAGATAATTGGTCTACGTGCATAAAGGACTGCACAAATCAAGTTTACTTCTGAGAGGCTTTAACATCCTACAAACTTGTGGCCCAAGCAGACTGATTACGTTGAGGCATGTGCGGAAGCTCAAAAAGTCGACTTCTGGGCTTCTCGGTTTGAAAAGCAGCATTTATACGGAGTGACGTCACGCACAAGGACCCCAAGCCAAGTCTCCAAAAAGTAAGATCGATGTTGCACCCTTCGAGCTTTCTTTCATATGACACGTTTGACGTCATCGCGTAAACTCGCGTCCCACAACGGTTTCCCGGACAACAAGCACGGAACTTGAAAGAAGCCTTTTCTTTGGCCACGACATTTGTCGCAGGCAAGCCGCCTGGCGGGCGCGCTAACGTTAGCATGAAGCTAACAGCACTCACACACTCGGACTGCACTTCCTCCTTGGCCTCGGCGCGCTCCGAAGCGACCTCGGCCGGTTCGGGCTCTCTCCCTCCGCGGCTCTTGCTCGTCTGGGAGCCCGAATCCCGACTCTCTGAGCCCGAAGCGGACTCGTCCTCTTCGTCGTCACTGTCCTGGGACGCGCGCGTCCTCCTTCGCCGCCGGTCCGCCATCTTACTTCCACAGGAATGATGCTGGAAACGCACAGATGCATTGTGGGGCGGGGGAAACTGCGTCTTCTTCTTTGTCATACTGTCGCGTGTTGCTCAATAGCGCCCCCAGCTGTCTCCGTTGACAATTAATTGATCTTTGTCTGGTTTTCCTCACGGTTTCGCTTTCGGTACCCAAACGGCTTCAACACACGAAGATGAGAAAGCGAGCAACTTTTTTTATTCTTTTAATGCACACAATGCAATTGATAAAACTCTCCATGCGAGAGAAACTATTGTGTTTGTGCAGCAAGTCCGTGGGAAGACAAGTCGACAAAAAAGGAAACAATAGAAAAGCACCGCAATTTAGCCATTTACATTCCGTGTTCTCAATGTATTACAATTCCCAACCTAGATAACGGAAGCATGGAACTGCCTTTAAAAGGCAAACTCGTTCGACCGGATTTGAATGCGTTCGAATGAGTTTGACGGTCAAAAAATGTTAACTTCACACTGGCAATTCCACGCTTCTTTAAGGCTGCAATTAAATTGCTGGAAAATTGAGGATATTTTAATTGTATGACACAAATCAATTGTGATTTCAAAATCAACCTTTATGTCATCTTTTTCATCATTCAAAGGGGGGGGGGAGCAAGAAACAAATGCACTCAGCAGTGTACATATAGAATGATTATAATAATACAATATTATTCTCACTGACATTGTGCACCATATTAAGTTAAATGTTGCCCACTTAGCAGCCATTGCAGCCTGGTCATCATAGAAGGGGGATTCTCCCATCTTCACCCCCGTCAAGGTTTCTCATCTCCCCCCTCCCCAGATGTTTTTGGGGGGGAAATTTTTCCTTGCCCTCCTGGAGGCTAAAAGATCAACGGATGTCATTATTTGTCAACTGTGGACATGTGAAACCCTTAGAGATTTTCCCCATGAATGAGGGTTATAGAAACAAAATCGACTTGACATGAACTTGTCGGAAAGGGACGTTTTGCATTTGATGGACACCTTTGCTTTGTCGTCCTCTCCAACATATCCAACAAAGCTCCATAGATGAAAACCAAACGGTGCACCCGCTTGGCTTTTGTTTCCTTCCATTTGCTGTCATTGTTACTTTCTGCTAAGGGGAAAAACATGGACGTGGCCTTTCATGTGTCCTTGTCCGTCTTGAGCGTCACAATCATCATCTGAATACTGTGGTTGCCGGGTAAATTGGATCCAGCCAATTCAGATGTATTGGCGTCAAATGTCTCCAGATCAACGTCCACACAGGCCAGCTTCCACCTGTGCAGCAGCGCCTCAATGCTCCAATCGGCACTGAAAGACGTAGAAACACATTTTTGCTAACGCAAATGCTTTTGTGCTTTGTACAGTTGCCGTTACAGTGTGCATGTTCACTCACCTTCGTTCTTGGTATGTCACCCAAAATTGAGCGCTGGGGTTCTTTCGCAGAAGAAAAACCACGGTGACCAGGACGTCTTCAAAGTCTGCAATCAGATGGGGATACAAGTGGAAGGTGGGAAAGAGCAAATACAACTTTTCGACTTCCTGCGGAAGACAAGTTGTTCATGTGTCATGCAGGTTGTTTCGGGTCAAGTGGATGTGGTTACCCCGAGGCTCGTAAAAAACGTCGGACGCCAAGATGAGGTGGAGTGGTGGAAGCTGGAGCAGGTCGGGGGAGACTTCCCCCCAGGTGAGAGGCACTGTTAACACGTCATGCAGACCATTGGCCTCACAGCTGCGTCTGCAGTTTTCCAAGCACGCCGGCGCGTCGGCATTATCAGACAGGATGACCTTGGCGCCACAGCGGGATGCCAGCACGCCTGGAAGACTCACACCTGCACCCAGCTGTGGAAGCAAAGACGTCACCGTCAGCATTATCATCTTTGTCAATCATCATTCGTGTTCGGCAGCTTCACCTCCAGCACGGTCTTGTCCTTCACGTCAGCTCTTCTGCTCCAGATGTACTGAGCCAACACCACTGCACTGGGCCACACGTACATGCCATATTGCGCGTCCAACACCTGGCCGCACAGTCAATAACCTTTAACAAGTCACACTCAGTTATTTCTTCATCGCTGAGTGTTTATTTACCAAAAGTCTTGGCCCACCAATAATACATCAATCCTGTTGATAGGCTGTGCATCACACGTTAAACAAATATGATACCCCATAAGGCACTTAACACAAAGCGGTATAAGTCATGAAACCATTTTGGCCGTGATACACAACGACGATAAAGCGACGACAAAGTCGCATCGGGAGAAAAGCTAAACTCAACTTTTTGGATTTTAGTTTTCTGGTTTGCCTCGGCGCGTTCAATGACCACGAACAAAACGGGGCGTTACAAAGTTATACGGAAAAACCACCACGCATGGACACAACATAACAAGCAACAGCTAGTTAGGGAGGCCCCCGACAGCGATAAGTTGCCGTTGCACTGTTTTGTCATCGATACTGGCCAATGTTAGGCGTCCGTCATCGCTTGCGTGCCCTTTGCGGAGCCCGTCGGATTTCACGTGTTTTACCTCAGGAATGGACACACTCAGCGACTCATGCGAGTCGTTCTTGGTTTCCTCAAAGGTGAATGTTCTAAGAGTCACTGTGGGACTTTTGGGTCCCGTATCGTTCATCTCCTTTTAGAATACGTCGGGGTAATTTGGGGCAAATTACTGTCGCGATGTCTTCCGGTCATTACAATTGCGAGCGCATCTTTTCCGGCACGGTGCTTTAACAACCAATCAAATCATCTTATGTGATTGTTTGGACGGCCCGTCCAACAGTAGAACCAATGGGAAGACCCTACTTTGTATGAGCACTGGCCAATGAGCAACGAGTAAGTGCTTCGGGGGCGTGTCCCACATTGACAACCAGTTGCGATAGCATTGTGTCCCTCTGCCGCTAACTCGACGAGGTATTGCCCCCTCGCCATTCAGGCGAATTATATGTGATCATCTTCAGTGTCATAAGAGCTGACATGGAGCTACGTTGGACATGTTGCCACGTCTTATCAAGGGATTAGCTCGCTGGCTAATTTTCGGTCCTGCTCAGAACACAGAAGCGAACGAGCGCACAAAGCGCTAGCTCCTCGTTAGCTTGATTAAGTAGCGTCGCTGGCCGAATCGAAGGAAGGAAGGAAGGAATGAACCACAAGAGCAAGAAGAGGATTAAAGAGGCCAAACGGAGCGCCAGGCCTGAGTTGAAGGATTCGTTAGACTGGATCAAGCACGCTTATCATGACAATTTCAACGTGTCGCACAGCTCCGTCAAGGTAACCGGCAAATAGCACGCGAGGCTAAGCTAAAGGGAGCTAGCCGCGGCTAACTCGTCACGACGACGGTCTTTCCAGAATCTTCTCGACGTGATCACACAGCCCAGCCAACATTTGGCCGATCCTAACTTTACTAGTTGTTACAATGATATCCTTTGCTGAATAGCAGTCAAGACGGCAGACTATGGCAAACGTCAACGTCAGGAGCACTGTAGGCTAGTCCAAATGTGCAAAGGTTCAAAGTGTGCTTTTGTCCACGTTTGTCGCCACAGGACAATGTGGAACGAGTAGACGCGCTGCGTCTGAGCCCCGACAAGTTCATCGAGCGCTTCGAGAGGCCCTACAAGCCCGTGGTTCTGCTCCGCTGTCAGGAGTCTTGGGCAGCGCAGCAAAAATGGACCGTGGAGCGGCTCAAGCGCAAGTATCGCAACCAAAAGTTCAAATGCGGCGAGGACAACGACGGCTACTCGGTCAAGATGAAGATGAAGTACTATGTGGACTACCTGGAGAGCACACGTGACGACAGCCCGCTTTACATCTTCGACAGTAGCTACGGCGAGCACGCCAAACGACGAAAACTGCTCCAAGACTACCAGGTGCCCGTCTTCTTCACCGATGACCTCTTCCAATTCGCTGGAGAGAAGCGACGTCCGCCCTATAGGTGAGTGGCCCTTTGCAAGGACCTTCTTACCATGGTGATCCGACGTGACACTGTTTTTTATGTTTTTGTCCTCAGGTGGTTTGTGATGGGCCCTGCTCGTTCTGGCACTGGCATCCACATTGACCCGTTGGGCACCAGTGCTTGGAACGCGCTGGTCCAAGGACATAAGAGGTGGTGCCTGTTCCCCACCAACACACCCCGAGATCTCATCAAGGTGAACCGCGAAGATGGAGGCAACCAGCAGGACGAGGCCATCACCTGGTTTAACGTGGTCTACCCCCGCACGCAGCAGCCCGGCTGGCCTCCTGAGTTCCGACCGCTCGAGATCCTGCAGAGACCTGGAGAGACCGTCTTTGTGCCAGGTCAGTGGGAAGATGATTTGCACCATAATTTGACTTAGAAATACCCGTGAGCCTCTTTTGATCACTGTTTGACCCGATTGCCGACTATAAATTGAACTTGGCGAGGCTGAGGCAACCAACATGCGCATTGATGTTGCGGTTGTTACTAACAGGCGGCTGGTGGCACGTGGTGCTCAATCTGGACACGACCATTGCTGTCACGCAGAACTTTGCGAGCATCACAAATTTCCCCATCGTGTGGCACAAAACCGTACGAGGGCGGCCCAAACTATCCAGGAAGTGGTACCGGTAAGAAGCGTGCCGTTTCCATGATGACAATGACCATGACAGTGCTGCCATGACTTGCCAACGCCCCATCCCTTAAGTGTTTCCAGCTGCGAGCTGTCACTTGTGTTTTAAGCTTCTTGTTGTGAGCCCAAATCTGGCTGATCTTGTTCACGAGGCACATGTTGAGTGTTTTTTCTTACGTGTGTACCGGCCAGGATCCTGAAGCAGGAGCGACCCGACCTGGCGGCGCTGGCTGACCGAGTTGACCTGCAGGAGTCGACGGGCATCGCGTCTGACAGCTCCAGCGACTCGTCCTCATCCTCATCCAGCTCATCTGACTCAGACTCAGAGGTATATTGTGCCAGGTCGCTCCCCCGATTGTTTCTTTCTTTTAAAGCTGACGCCTTTTGGCAAATTTTTTTTTGTCCCTGAAGGCCGAGTCATGTTTGGAAGGGGATGCCGCATCCCACCACAGGAAGAAGAGACGCACGTGCGGCATGGCGGCCAACGGAGATGTCCGCGCTCACGATGACTGCCTGAGTAAAGCGAGGAGCTCGTCACGCTAATGACACTGCACGCAATGCCACTTTTTTTTTTTTTTTTTAAATTCTATAACGGTCACGACGTTCCTGCGGTGGAGATGTTTTAACTTGGTTCAGGAAGCACATGTGCCTTGTCAAACATCATTTGTGTTGATCAATAAAATGTTTAGTAAGATTTAAATGGCATTGAGTGATGTCACCACCGGGCTGCGGTTCGTTCAGCGGACTACAAACTCGAGCTCGATTTTTTTATTTTTTATTTTTTTTGGGCCACACTCGCCTGGATTATACTATGTTGAGCCCCCTTATACTTCTACGTGTTTGGCAGTCCCTGGTGATCATATTGGCCAATTCTTTGTTTCTTACCTTTTTCTTTATTTTGGGGGTGGGAGTGAATTTCTTAAATTTCTTAAACTTTTCAAACACTAGCCACCTACATGTACCACTCCCACATTTGGATTATCCAATTAACTGCTTCTCTTCATCATTCAAAACAAAGTAGTTGTCATATTCAATAATTTCCTGCTTTCAACGGACTCTTCAGGGGAAAGATGTGCGTCGGCGCATTATTTGAGCGTTGCCAAACTCGGAGAAACAAAAGTTCGTACGCGGCTTTATTTTGAAACATGACCGGACGTGCGCGTGCCAGGAGGCGTTTTCGGACAGACGCTTGACGTAGGGATTACAAAAGAGCGCGCGTGTCGCCGGCGCGAGTGTGCGCGCACTGCCGCGCAGGTCTGTTACTTTACGTCGGTCATGGAGCTGGAAGTGGAACCGAGCGTCGTCGTGTTCACTGCGCTCGCCTTGCTGGTGGCCGCCGCTGTGCTTCTTCGCCGCCGGCGCAAAGCCGCCTCTGACGACGGGCCTACGTCCGGATGCTTAGCGGCTCAGCTTCAGGTTGGCAGTCCTCCCCCATTAAACTTGAGCACACTGATTTGTTGTCTTTATAACGTGCAAATAAATCACCGCAAGTCAGACGTGTAAAAGCGCAACGGACGAATACGAATCTGCTCTCTCCTAATCGTTTCTTGTCCCGTTTTGATGCGCTCGATGTTAATCGCCTTTACAAGATGAGACTTATTCAAATAAACCTAGCGCGGAGCTTTGCAACCACTCGATCTAGCGTTTGCTTGTGACGGCACTTAATGTGGTTTTTTTGGAACGCTAAAACAAGTTCCAAGTTTGGAGTGAAAATTCCTCCCGAAGCGGTACACTTAGTGGGGCAGGTCGGGGATGTATGGACGGGTCTTCTTGGTAACCCGATCGCGCGCTGAAGGTGTTTGGTAACATGGGCTTACCTTTCAATTTGCGTCTTTGTCGTCGCTTCATCGTCAAAGAATTCACGTAGGTGGGCTACGCTGTGCCGTCGTGGAGGGGGATGGTGTTCCGAAAGAAGCACCGTGTGTGGAAGACGTGAGTCAGGGCGCGAGCGCATCTGGCGGTGGCAGCTTGTCAAGTGCGACGTGACCTGCAGATGACAGGTTTGGCGTCACCTAAATTCAGAAAACATGAAAAAAATAAGATTATACTTAGTGCAACTGGATGTTGCACTCTTGCTTATATACACCCCTACATACTGTATCTTTGAGCATGTATACATTTAAGGGGGTCCCAATTTCAAGACGGTATGTGCGTGGAGATCTGGAGTGTCAACTTGTTTGCATGACGGTTGTGGTTGTCTGAAGGGGCCAGTGACAACGGCGGAAGAACACACGTTTATAATGGCTACTGGTGTAACGCTTTGAATTTCACAGTTCAATCAACTCTTTTGTGTGACATTTCAAGTGAAAAGTCAGCAGCTAAAATATTTTACTCCTGGCTAAGTGCAACACTTGATCTTCTTTTCAGCAAAGAATTAAGGGTGTGCGGACAAGTGCCAGAGTTTCAACACTGTTAATACTTGTTACGCAATCGAAGAGATAGAGGACACTTAAATGACGCTGCGGGTTCGAACAACACTACTTTTTTTCACAGCAAACTGCTTGCTCAATACGTGTGGTGTGTTTTCAATGAACTTTGGACTCGTGTGACAATGTCTTTTTGGCTCAAAATCAATGACTAAGAATCATCGTTTATCTTTGGTCTTTGTAGGCTGTCCCAGAACCAAAAGCGGTTTCAGCAGAAGAGCCACAACCTGTCCAAGAGTCCCAGTCTTGTGCAGGAACAGTCTCTCAAACAGATGACCACCTTCCTGAACCTGTTTCTGAATCAGTGTCTGTTCCAGAAGCAATCTCAAAACCAGACCCACTTTTAGAACCAACGAGACTGAAAGTTTCCGAGCTTTTTCCAGACCCTGTGAACAAATTCTGCGCTGTTAAAGAAGGAGATTCTGAAAGCGAGCCAGTTTTAGCCTCACATTTAGTTCCACAAACTGTCCCTCAGCCAGAAGCCGTCGCCAGACCCGAACCAGTTCCTGTGCAAGAAACTAACCCTCAGCTAGAACCTGTACTTGAACCACTTACAACACCTGAAACTGTCTCTTGGCTAAAGCCCGTTTGTGAATCACTTTTAGCCC